TCATGTCCAATCTATCTAACTTCAACTACAGAGCAAAGACTCCAAAGAGTTTTAGGTGTAGATTTTACCAATGGATGCCCATTGATTCCAGACCTCAAACAGCCTCTGTATGAGATTAAAGGTACATTTATTCAGTCATTTGGCTCCGAGAATCCAACCAACATATACTGTTCTTGTGTTACCTATCTGCACTTAACTCTTGCCAGGAAATCCTACCAGGTTCACTAGTTAGCAAACCAGAGCACGTTCTGTTTTTAAAATAGAGCATGTTAAAACTAAAACAAAGAAGAAATGTCAGTGCCATGAAGGCAGTTAAAGCAGTCCCTACATAAGGCTCTTTGAGGTTTGCCCTCTATACAGAAGCCAATTTTCACTAAGTAGCAAATTAGAGCATGGGGGAACCAAGATTATTACATCTAATGGAAGGTACAGAATAAATTTAGATGGGTGGAATTTATTGGATTATTCTGTTTAGGGAATAGAAGTTAAAACACCTCTAACGAAGCCATGAGATTCTTAATGAAGATGAGACTAGTTAAGGCCTCAGTTCTACATCTCAGCCCAAAGAAGCAGATTTCTAAGATCATTATTACATTCAAATTGAGGTTTTCCCTTTTCTCCCTTCTGCCTTTTAAAACAAAAATCAAAATGAACACTACAAGAAAACCTGACTCTAAGCTGAACAATACAAACCGCATCCGTATGAGCTATGAGGATATCAGCTGTGTGCTTCCATGTTATATTTGAAAAGACACATCTGAAAAGTCATGTTGTTCATTTACAAGACATAAAAGCTACTTGTGATTCCAGCACCAAGTAAACAGAAGAGAACTGTCCCTGTTTCGTTGATCTGATTTATATATAACAATATGCCTGTATTTCTCAAACACTGCATATCTTCCCTGCCTAGCAGCAATCCTACATAACGAGTGATATCTAAATACATTTTTTGGGGAAGATAAAAGCTCCATTATATGACAAGGAATATTATGACTAACAGAGAGATTATACTAATCATGAGTAAGAAAGATGATGTTTGATCCTACTTGTGCAGAAAGTTTTTTAAAATTTTTTAAAAAAATCTTTTAAATGAATTTCTATCCTCAGGAAAATGATTAAAACCAGAAAAGCCTTGAGATGTCAGCTGGTGACATGTTTTTCTTCTTTATCTTTCTTTTTTGTTGTTGTTGCTGTGAAAAAAAAATATCTGAGAGAATACAGCAAAGTGCATCATTAACTTCTTATTAATTTTATAATACAAAGGCAATTCAGTTAAAATAGTAGTGCTGCAACTTTAAATTACAGAACTAGCTTGGTATTTAATGAGAGATTTAGCACAGCAGGGTTTCTGTTAAATTAAGTTGTGCCTTCACATCACAGTGGGAAAACAGGTGTATATTGGTTTAGAATTATGGAAATGTTGACTAATTCCAAGGCTTGTAATCAAACAGCAAGGCACCCTGCAATATTTTCTTCCAAGATCCTGCATTAATCATTTATATCTGGTCTTATTTTCTTCATGTCCACTAAAAGGGTGCAGCTCAAAGGAGCAGATCAAGCGCTCGTGTTTTCATGTCTCTGTTAAGGATGAGGTCCAGGCAAAAAGCAAAGATAGAGACAGAGCACTGCAGGCTTTGCTCAAATACCTACTTAAATTAAACTGAACATGCAGGCTTGGAAGGGGGATGAATTTCACACTAAAAAACCCACTTTTTTGGCTCCACTGGTGCCGATCCAAAACCTCCTTACTGAGCCACACGGAGCAGGTCTGCATTTAAGAAATGAAGAGACCACCCCAAAAATAATCTAGGCTCATTCATTTAATGAAGACAGAGGTATTTTCCTCCATGCCTCTGCAGCAGCGCAGGTTACACCTGAATGCAGGTAAAACACAGATGATTTCCAAGCACCACAGCATCCCTACAGCCCCCTGCTCCTGCCTCTGCCAGCTTTCCTTACCTTACACTAATAAATCACTTGCCTTTGCCTCGGATTTTCTTCCTGGGCTATTTAAGGATGCCTTATCTGATGCATGGTGGTATTACAGCAAAAGTGGAAGGCACAGATTCTTTTGTTTCCAGGAGATACCTTATTACTGAACCTCCTACCGACCATACCTCATTTACTGGAAGCAAGCTGACACTTGATGCCCAAATGAACCTGATCCAAATTCATCCCTTGTTGCAGCTCTGCCAGAAGATTGCTTCCATTTGCTCTGAGATTATTTCACACATGGACCCATCCACTACCAATTCCTGCTTGTTCAGTAAAAGCTGCTTAGCAGGCAAGAGGAACAATACAGAAATTGCTAAAATTCATATATGGAGAATCCTGCTAATGTGAAGTGTTTTCAGCACGTGTGCCACAACTTTAAAGCATGCTTAAATGAAGTTATTTTGGGCATACACAGATGCAGCATAACAGTATCTCCATATACGCTGAATGTCAGCATACTGCACGTGCAAAATATAGAATCTGTTATATAATATATGCTGAGTCATCCTGAAGGACAAGTAGTAGATTTGTATTCAAGTTGCTTCTCTTTATTGGAGGTGCCCATTTAAAAAGTAGGTATAACTACTTATCTCAACATAAAATCTAAACATCTCTGGCTCTATCAGGCCCCAGAGTCACAGGGATGCAATTTCCACATTTCCTTAAAAGGAAAGTTTGCAACCTCACAGTCAGGACATAAAAACTCATCTTGGAAAGACAAAGAACTAGAGAGAGCTTTAGAAAAACTACTATTTTTGAAATTTAAAAAAAAAAATCAAAAGGTACAGCAGTGCCTTTAACTGCTGCCTGCTCATTAGCTGTGCAAAAGTGAAGGAGAAAATGATGCACTGCTCAAGTAAGATGCAACGCAGAGCTGAGCCAGCTTTGCCATCTGAATGTGTAGAAGTCAGAGGAGGAGTCTGCCTCTCCCTGTCACCCACTGAGATAACTAAGATCTCTCAAAACACAGCAACCAGCTTGAGGGGCTCAGGGAATAACAGAGGAGTAAAGTGGCTGAGGTAGCTGGGGTTATTTAGCCTGGAGAACAGGAGGCTCAGGGGAGATTTTAAGGCTCCCTACAACTACCTGAAAGGAGGTTGTAGCCAGGTGGGGGTCAGGCTCTTCTCCCAGGTAACCAGCGACAGGACAAGAGGAAATGACCTTGAGCTGTGCCAGGGGAGGCTCAGATTGGACATTAGAAAGAACTTCACTGAAAAGGTGGTCAAGCATTGGAACGGGCTGCTCAGGGAAGTAGTGGAGTCACCATCCCTGGAAGTGTTCAAAAAACAACTGGACGTGGCACTCAGTGCCATGGTCTAGTTGACATGGTGGTGCTCGCCCAAAGGTTGGACTCAATGATCTTGGAAGTCTTTTCCAACCCTAACAATTCTATGTTTCTAAAAGGACCCTCTCTATTTCTAGGAGAAGTGATGTGTAGATCTTGCAGCAGAGCTTCAGGGATGCTGTCTGGGCAGGGTGCTGCTCCAGCAGCTCAGGACCACCTCCACTAGAGTGTCCATCCAATCTGCACAGCCATTTGACTCAAAGCATGTTGGAGAGCAGTTATTCAGTGAGTTGGTTTAAGTGCAACATTAGCTGAATTGGGTTAGAGCACTCATCCAAGGGCTTGGCTTTTCCTGGCAGTGGAGATGGGAAACAACAAGGAAATCACCTTTCAGAGCCTTCATTTCTCTCTGAGGATGACACATCCCTCCCGTACAACCTTAATGTCAAGCCTGCTATTGGGAGGCTTGTAAGGTCTTGACACTGCCCCTTTTGAGAGCCAGTTGCTGGAAAACATCACTTGAATCTCAAGTGCCGCAATTTTTCTCCTGTTTTCCTGTGGCTGGCCTACCTCTGCAGATTTCCTACCACCACTTAGGGCATTTACACCTGAAAATGACAGAGGACTTCCATTTTGCCTTGGTGAATTAGCAGGATTCATAGGTAACTGTCCCACGTACTTCTCTAGGCTGGTTATTTCCATGACAGATAAGGTGGCTTTCCTAACAGGAGTTGCATAAAGTGAGCTGGCCAGATGTGAATTTTTCAAACATATAGTGTCCAATTTCACATATAGCACATAGGAACTTAAAGCAGATATTGGCCATATAACTCTCAGTCCAGTCAATGCTCTCTTCATTTATATAGTGTATTTATTTATTTTCATGTCTGTAACCAGACACTTCAAACATATACTTCAACATTTCTCCTACATCAAGAGGGAATAAACCTCCATCCTTTATCTTTTTTTCTTTTCTATCCTCAAAATATTTGGCTGTGTTCAGCAGGAAAAATGAAAAGTGTGGAACAAGAAAATTTCAGAGTTAAGACATGCAATTACCAGTGATATACTTCTCTCTAGCCCTGCAATTTAAATATAAACTGCCATAGGAAAACGCAAGGAACACTTTGTACAACACAATCGTGACTGTTTTGAGTGCTGGTGTGAGTTATCAGTGGGAGCAGGTGGTGAGGAGAGGTGGTGGCAGGGAACAGGATGACACTGTGCAAGCAGCAATGTGGCACCACAACATCCTGAGATGGGCAGCCACCACACTGATGTTTTCAAGTTGCTTAGAAACCATGTGGATAAAGGCTGCATTTAACAAAGCTGGCTGTTTCTTGTCTTTTGCTCCTCTCTCCCTTTTGAAACTTGAAGTCCTGTTGGCGTAGTGTTTTTCTGCCGTATTTTTCCCCCTCTCTCTCCCTCCCTCCCCCTTAAATAAATAAAAATTAGAAATGAATCTACATTGCACTTTGGTCACTGCCTTTAGTCAGCAGGTATCAGCACTATTTCCAGCCAAGGGACTTTCTACAGAAGAGCAGCTGCCCGTGGAAATGATGCCATTGCTACAGGACTGGCACTGGTACAGGACAGACCATCAGGTTTGCCACCCTCCTTGCAGAGATCAAGGTCATTTGGGGCACCAAGCAGTACCGAGAGTAAAAGGGCTATTTTTCTGGCAGTAAAATAATTAAGATCAAAAAATAAATGTACTCACCCCAGGTAAAGTTTTAATATTGTGCAGTGCATTCTGTGCCTCAAGAGCAGCTTTTCTTGTATAAAATGTTACGAAACAACAACCTATAGAGAGAAATGAAAAGCTTTCAGAAATTAGTGAGTACGATTTGTAAGAGTACAATAGGCAGGGAGAAAAAACAGTGGTTGAACAACACAATATGAAAGCTGGAAATGTGAATTATCCCGAGGCTGCCTGAATGACATGAATAAAAGAAAGCCTGTTTGGTTTAAAATAAAAAGTCCCCTCCTGTGCATTGCATCTATAGCACACCTACATTGTTAGTGAACTGTAATCACTTAGAAATTGTTAACCAAAATCCAATTGGCTTTGTACAGTGTAAATAAGGTTATATTTTTCTGAAGGCTCCCCATTATACTTTGAATATAAGCAACATGGCAAGCTCAAGCAGCAGGAATTCATTGTTGCATCCCAGGCAGAAAATCAGGTTAAAGCAGGACCTTATTTAAAGGGCCTTACATAAAAGAGCTAAGGTTGGTTCCCCTCCTTTTTGAAACCAGGCAGGACCGGAGGTAGGACACTCATCTCAGTTGCAAGAATGAAAAATAAGCTACAGGAGAATTCACCATGGTGGGATAATGGAGGCTGCTGATGGTTGACAGTGTAAAGGGAGGCTCTGCTCACCCTGCATCTGCCTAATCTTCAGTAAAGAGGGTGGGTTTAGTTGCCTTAATCCTGTGGTTTTCCCTTTGACAGCACGGTACAACTGGGTGGTCTGTGGGACGGGTTGCTGCCACTTTCTCCACTGCAAACATGTTAAGTAGCTTTTGTGGCAACACACACAACCCAGGCAGCTCAACACCACCCCCAGGGCGAGGTCAGGGCTCACAGGTAGATCCCCAAGGGAAGAGCTATAATGCGACAGGCATGGGACAAACAACAGGGACCAGGATTTGCCTCGCTGCAATCCGTAATGTCCCAGCCCTAATCCTGGGCGTGCACAGGGTTCATGCAGAGAATTTACAGAGGGAGGTCCTTGTTGCCAGTGAGATGTTCAACACAACATCCCAGCTTGTGACTTCAGCTTTATTTTCAGCGGGAGGGAAACCACTTTGAGAGCACCACTTGCCACACTTATGTCCATAACACAAGATTGCAGGTACAGACATAAGGAGAATTCATGCTGGGAAAGCTCCCATCTAGCACAGTAAATCAGTGATGCAGGAATATCCTTAGGGAATAATTGGTTGCTATTCTATCCACAGGGGAAATACGGTGGGGCTGAATCCAGCCCTTGTCCCACGGATATGGGCAGTCCCTGCTTTGGAACCACAGTAAGGAGAGAATCCAAAGCTCCTATAGAGCTTGTGGATGCAGATGTGGTGTTTGGTGACCCAGCTACTATGGGGAGAGGGAAAACATGCTGGGGAATGCCGGCTGGGAGGTAGAAGTGGCTCCTGAAGTAAAAACCAACTTCGCATCACACAAGATGATGCAGGTTTTACTGATGAATCCGAAAGCAACCTTGTTCTCTTAAGCACAGTCAGAGGTTTGTTACAACTCCAGAGAAATGTCAAAACCAATCAGCAAATAAAAGAAACCTGGGCTCACGAGCCTTGGTATTCCCTTGGAGCATGACACAGATAAAATAATCTGTGCTTTAGGCAGGGAGCAAAGATGATGTTTGCATCAGCTCCCTTATGTTGGCCAAGGTGAAGCATCCCAGCCCATCTGACATGCCCACTTGTGCTCAGCCATGCAGCATCCTCATAATGGCAAAGGAGACAAGGAGAGGGCGTGCACAGCAGAACACAGCAAACATTGTGACTGTGTAGAGGTGGTCCTTGGACGGAAGGGCTGAATCCAGAATGGCCCCTCTGCTGCCTCTTGCTTGGCTCAATCCCTGCATGGCACTGGGAATCCTCCCTCCAGCTCTGCAGCCAGACCAGCAACAATCATTACCTCCATAACAAGCAAAGGTGTCCATGTATTCCCAGCTGGAATACAGCGAGTTTATCCCTGACACAGAAAATCACTTGCAGGCACTACAACACATGGGCAGGCAGGTAATGCAGACATAACACAGCTGAGAGAAACATTTTTCATACTGCCAACAGCTTCTTTAAAATTTCACACTTTATGATGGAGATGGTTTAATAATTATTTCAGTAAGTGGAACACTGTTCTCAGGGATGTGGCACAAACAGCCACAGCCTGTTTGTGCTTCTTGTGAGTGTTTGTAAACCTTTTATTTCACTGGAAAATTCTGAAAAATTGAATTATTTTTCTCCAGAATGAAAATAGGAAAAATAGAAAAATAGGAAACAAATCCGAGTTTGTGACATTTAATAGTGCAACTTTGAGACAACACTGCAGCATTTTTCTATCCTGCTAGCTAGTCCCAAAGTCTATCTTCTATTATTTCTTCATTTATTAGATTTTTAATATATAGCTTTTTAACCAGGAGAGAGAATTCAGAGGGGAAAATATCAAGCTGTAATCACAAGTTTGCAATTGCCATGTCCTTTTCCATGGGCCCGAAGAGTTTCATTTTAGATTTCAGCTCTGTGGGTTCATTCTGATAAGGAGAAGTTTGAAATCTATTGGTTTATCATTCTTGGCACTACTTGAAAGAACTGCACTTGAAAGATGAATATGCTGTGAAATACCCTTTAACCGGTCATTTTTGGGAAGTAATAGCTCAGGATAGAAAAATGTGTCTGTGAATGAGGGCTGGAAGAAAACAGTAGCTTAATGGGAAATATGCAGGTGTTTCAGGCAGGTTATCGGACCTTGACAAAAATGAAGACTTCTAAGCTCACAGACTGACACTTCTGAAAATGCACATGGATAAAAATTTTTCTCTGGACACATTTGTGTTGTAACTTCTTAAAAAAAAAAATCAAACCCACAACAAGACCCAGTTTACTGTGGTTTGAGGAGAGTATGGACACCTTATTGTGGACACCTGAATCTGCTGCAGAGGTCAGGGCTGGACTCGAAAATAAGAAAACACAGAAGAACAGAAAAGGCAACAGAGCATGTGGTCCCCAAGGAAATGCTATCTCTCAGCCTATGGACTTTCCAGAGTTTCTTGCTGCCATGTTATGTAAACTGCATTGAAGATACCTTCAGTGTAAAATCTCTTTGGCTCAGTACATAAGAGAAAGTACCAAATTCAGTCTTTTCTGAAGAAATATTGGAAGGGAAGATACCTGTGTAAAAGGATATGGCTAATCTGTGCTTTAGGACTAGTAGCTGTCCCCTGCTGAAAGACCTTCCTCCCTCCATTTTCCCAAAGTAAACGTAATATTGCCAAAGACAAACAAATGGCCCAACTGGAAAAGAAAAAGTACGTTTCCTACTGAAATAAAAACAAAAAAATGCAACCCTCCCCTCTCCAGCCTCCTGCACACATAATCTTGGCTTCATCACCAACAAACTCGACAGCAGCTTGAACCACAATGAGGCTTTTCTGACACCCAAATAACTCAAAGCCTGGCAGTGATAACCTTCTCCCCTCCTAGTCAGGGCAACTTAAAATGTGAATTGGTTTGTGGACATGGTTCTGCCAATCCTCAGCAGCCTGAAATACAGCCCAGTTTAACTCCACGTGGGTTAGTCTATTCTTGCCCAGAGGCACGGGAGCTTGTGCTACCAGTCAGTGCCTCCAAAGCAGCAAATCTCCTGCGCTCTGCTAAGCTGGTTGTGCTCTACTTGGAACAGTATTTACTACAGCGTAAGACATTTCTTCTTTGTACCTTGAAAAAAATACTGAATGAATCATGCAGATCCCTACAGTCCCTTAAGGACATCGGCAACAACTTCATGGCTATCCTGCCAGATGCTTGAACAGACTGAATAAAACCTGCCACTCCGTGCTGCTCAGCATCTAATGGCAACAAATGGGATGCCTGAGAAACAACAGCAGAAAACAGCCCTACTTCTCAAGGCATCTGACAAGCAAACACTTCAGTGTGGACACTACAATGCTCAACTTCAACACCTCATAAAAAAAAAGGGAAAAGATCTTTTATTTCAGCTTGGTTTTTTTCTCTCTCTCTCTTCCTGCCCTCCCCACCCCCCCCCTTTATCTTTTTTTCAAAGGAAATTTAGTGCCAGAAAAAGACCTCAAGGTCCCAGCCATTGGGAGAGAGTTGACACATTCAATTCTCCATGACACATTCAATTCACAAGCCCTTGCTCAGCCTGCCAAAGGCACCAATTAGCACCAGTGGTGGTGATTTTTTTTTATTTAATTTCCACAGAAACCTGTTTAGCAAGACAGTGACACGGGCAAAACACCTTGTGTATAGCTAGAAACAGCTTTATGTGAGTCACCGTCAAAGATGGCAGCGACGGATTACAGGGGGACCACGAAGCCACAGGTTCACTAAAGCAGTCATTTAGGAGTTAGGGATGGGAAAAAGAAGAGCAAGTGGTGAGGGCTCTCACACCACTGCAGCCATGAATTTCTGCTGACAGAGAACCTGGGTTTTTGGAGGACACGTGTGCGTTGTGGAATTATGACAAATCGCAGTTTTCACCATGAAACTTCAAAAAATGCCGTTCCTCCTGTTAGCAAGAGGGATTTTTTCAAAGAGCTGTTAGTGACCTTATGCAATGGGACTTCTCCTCCCGTGTGACTTCTGCTCTATGGCCCACATTTACCTCCCAGCAGAGCAGTCATGTCTTTGTTAGGCTGTAAGATACAGCTGCGTGACATCGCTAGGAGCTCCGCCATGTCATTATTTTTATCACTTTCTCACAATTCAAACACAGACTAATTACTCCATGAGAGCTGTTTACATTTCTAATTTTGAACAACTAACAAAGGGAAGCTCTCCTCCACTCGGAGATGTGGCTTACACGGTCCTCATTGGCATTTAACGGCACTGGGATCTGTGTAAGAGGCTTAATCTCTCAGCCAGGATTTCATGCTTGAATGAATACAGCAACCTCCATCTTGCTTCGGGTGTGAAAAAGTCTCTCACAGCTCTATAAACTGACTATACAATTCCTAAGTTAAAGTTACCAGGAATTACACACATGCATCAACACGAGAAAATAACCCTTCGATGTGGACAGGAATTAAAACACATTG